ACGACGATGAAAATTAAACCAAGTGAACACAAGAAACGACAGCATTAACAATGATAATATAACCTTGAAAAGCAACATAATATAATAAATAAATAAACGACACCAACATGATGCTCCACAATGTACTATAAAAACGATAGAAACATGAGAAACACATGATACGCGACCATAGCATAGGCAAATGACAAAATAAACATGAACAATGCACTTAAAAAAAAAAAAAAAAAAAAAAAAAAAAAAAAAAAAAAAACAAGACAAATAAAAAAGAAAAAAAACAACAAAAAAAAAAAAAAAAAAAAAAAAAAAAAAAAAAACGACGATCGATAATAATGGAAATGAACAACATCAACAGGTAGAGTGAAAATTAACAGAAAATAACAAAATTCAAGCACAACACAAATATGAGAAACGGAAATACTATAAATAAACGACATCAATAGGGTTTACGACAATAAACTGGTTAGATGACATACGTGGTCACGTGGGTAACATGTCAACGTTTATACAATAAATAATTACAGTATTAAGTAACGCTGCAACAATTAATAACATTAAATACAAAACGACACAAACTAGCATTACTGCTCTTTTGTCTTTGCGCCCTCTTAAACAATAACCAAATTTTTTTTGAATTTGAGCTCTGCTTTGTATATCAGAGAACATCTTGAAATGTCTGTTTTTTACACAGATGATACAGAGAGTGTTGTAACACTTTTTGCAATATTGATGATTGACTATAATGATTATGTTTTGAGATGTTAAAGTAATCAAGCAAGAAAAATAAAAGACACCAGAAAATGATATCGCAGTTCAGTACAACAACCTACATCTGCGATGCCACGCTCAGACAGTGAACAATCCACTAAGATAAAATAATTTCAAACACTTCTCAAAGACTCTCTCCTTGACGATGTCGCCACTGTAATGAATCTTCTTAGCGGCCTTGTCAAGTGAGCACCACTCGTCTTCAAACTGCGCGGCAAACTCCCTTCAGCTGGCAGTGCACTTCCTCCAAAAAGTTTCTAATCCTTCTCCCAAAAAAGACGATCTTCAATCAACACTCAAAGACGCTCTATCTCATAGACTTTACTCTGAATATTTTCTATTAAATCCCTCTCAAATAGTTTCTATGTAATCTCTCTTGAATAGCCGCAACTTGAACTGCTCTTTAGGTGGTATATATAAAAAAGTCTATATTAGACTCTTTGATAAAATCAGCTCCACTATTTGCTCAATATAGATCTCACTGAGATAGCTCTTCCAAAAACCAATTATTCACTCGGCACCATAATTTTCGTTCACGCACACACCTCACTTCACATACACATACATTCACATATACATCCCATGAATATATATATATATATATATATATATATATATATAAAGTTGGTCTTATGCCTTTTTTGAATTCTAATCCACCAAGACCAAATCTGTTCGGTTTAACTCTTGAATTTCAAATCAAACTCAAAACACAATACAAGCTTGATTCCGTAGTTACCTTGTACTCCACGAGATAATCTCCAACTAATACTCCACGTGACAAGCCCTGTCACGTACTCTTTTTATCTTTAAATTCAATTCAAAATCCAAAAATAATGTCTTATCACCAACCAAGTGCAGCCAATATACGGATTAATTATCTCCAACTCAAATCCAAATAAATCAAGCCATATCTCCACAAAATCCGCAAGAATCTCCATGGTTTCATATAGCAATCCAATTTCTTCAAATCTCTCTGAATTGTCTTGCACAAATCCGCTATCCTTCTATAAAAACATTCCAAATCTGAAACAATTAACTAGACAAAATCTCTACATGATCTGCTCAAAAGCGCTAATTCCCGATTGTACCTGTTTTTGAATTTTTACAACCAATGCCAACAACTAAAGTCCTTACACCTCTCAATCATCAAATTCTGAATACCTGCAACTCGATCTTCACTGAAAATATGCCGTCTGCAGAAGGTACGTACCTGGGCCTCCAAGTTTAAAGCAAAAATTATGGTACCTTTTGATGTTGGGAAAAAATAGAGCGTAACTCAAAACTCAAGACTTGAAATCTTCGCCGGTGCTAATATTACATCACCATTGTCATAATCGTAATCAGTAAGTCTCGGAGTTTCACATATAATTTTATGAGTAGACAATAGTTGAAGGTGTTATGATGATTACCATTGCTCTATATCAGGAAGTATAAGATCTTTTCATAACCCAGTTGTTAAAATTCTCTAGTTCTTTGAGAGAATTAGAAAGCGTACGTAATGAAAATGTCTCATATATTGTTTGGTTAAATGAAATTACAGTTGGGGATATGGAAGTTGGCAGTGAAAGGCAAAGAGATGCTGCAACCTTATAATAACAAACTCTTCTATTTATGGGAACTAAAAAGAGAACTGCCCAGATATTCTATTTTTGAATAATGGAAAAAATGTTGGAGTGAATTACTAATCAAGAGATTAGTTGCCGGGCCGTTAACGTTGTAAATCTCGCTTTTTGTGTATCACGAATGTAGGAACTACTGTATTGCCACCCCATTAATAAAATTTGGTAGCAGAGCTAGGGATGACCTTTACAAGCTGGTATATGAATCATGAAAATATGTATCTACTTGCTGAAGCTTTTTGGTGCGAAAAACGTCTTGAATAAGTAAAAACGACAAGAATATTGTTACATCGGAGTCGAACTTTTTAGCTCAACTGTGTCATTGCAATGGGAATAATTTAAAACCAAAATTTTAGTTTGTACACCTTAATTGTTAGGAAATTCTTTATATATGTGTATGTATGTATATATATATATATATATTGTTCACGATTACAATGGTCATTTAATTATTCTTCGCTTAAGAATACTGAAGATGGAAAGGTTTAAAACTTATTTCAATTGCCTTTCACTTGTGTTATTCTTATTTATTAAGTAGATAAGAATTAAGGCATAACCAAAAAAACAAAAGCAATTACGTAGTAAACTACAATTATCTCAAGAAACGGCATCAACAGAATTAACGGTAATATATAATGCAACTAGTCACCTGATGAGTCCCTGCCAGACTAGTCGATTCCGTGGGAATAGAGTACTCGATGATTAAGGTCAAAGACAATAAAAACATGTTCGAGATGTTCTAAAGGAGATGATAAAAACATGCTTATATCAAATTCTATTTATTATAATTAGTTTTTACAGGTTAATATCAAATTGGGAAGAACTCTTTCAAGAATATTGAAACTTCGATCATCAATGTCATCATTTCTTTTAACTTTAGTAGATTAATGTGAATTCTCACTAGTTTATCACACAACAATTCATTTTTGTCAAACTATATAATGAAACACTCCTATCATGTTCGAGGCATATTTTGTGGACAGTATTCGACGCAGTTAATGATTAATGTTTGGTGTGCCCATTTTATATTAATTATCACCTGCCTCTACACATAGAAATACGTCGTATTGGATTAAGCAATGCAAATAGTCAAGTCTCAGGAGACTTTTATGTTAAATAACAAAGGAGTTGTAGTGTGAATTAAAAAGGACTGTTAACACTGAAATCACGTTAATTATAATTTCACTGATGTGAAATGCTTTGCATGAAACGGAATAATATGACCACTCAAAAGATGTTAACTAGACCGAGATTTGTCAAAGAAGAAAAATCTTCCAAGAAAATCGGGTATTCTTGATGGCATGTCCGCACAATCGAGGGAAGAATCTCCAAGCAAGTTGAGTTTTGAACTAGTTATCGCCGGTGCTGTAATCTGCAACATTGTTTTTTTAAACCAATTAAAAACTTACATGTAGGACCCTTTGTCATACTCATAATCGGTGAGTCATGGAGTTGACATTTTCTGCGTACTAAAGGCCCGTTTAGTTCGCTGAATCGAGTTTTTAATTCGAGTTAAGATATGACTTTATGTGAGAGCTTTTTACTATAGCAAAAAAGTTAGATGTGATTGTTTGTGAGAACTTTTTACTGTAGCAAAACTCAAATTCTAAACTCGAATCAGCAAAATGAATGGGGCCTAAGTATGTTAATGAACTACAGGGGAAGAAATATTTATTTATTCACAAGAATTGACAATGACTACTCAATTTGTTCGGGTGTGTTAAATTTTCAATTTTATGTTACCACTAAAGTCTTCCTACTGTCTCATTCTATTTTCTACCCCCAAAAAAAGTCTTCCTTCCGATTGTCTCCGTCTCTCTTTCGCTCTCTATCCTTTATGCTTAATAGTCTCATTTCCGATTGAGGCCAAATATAACAGTTGTATGTTAAGAATCATGCATATGATCATGAAAGATTGATAGATTAGTGATCTACCAAAGGTTTCTGCCGTAGAAATTAACCATATACTTTGCATGGTCTCTCTCACATCAATTGTTTGCATACTTTTGAGGAACTTTAGAAGTCAAGTCGTCTCCGTAATCTCACAGGCATCACAAGTATAGGAACAACTGCATTATTGCCAATTAATTAGAAGGAAAAGATAGACATTTTGTAGCCTAAAAAGCAAACTGATGATATTGAAGAATAATAAGATATAACTTTTTTAATATTTTAACAGCGGTTATCAATAGGATGTTACGCTAAAATATAGAGTAACCAAATGAAAATAAGCCATTGAATAAAACAGTGACATATGATGCATTCTTGTGCCAAAGTGGGATGTGGACTCTGCTCAATTCGTCGGAAGACTTGACAAAAACATACAATTATATCAAACTTTATTTATTACAAAAGTAAGTTTTACAGTTGAATACCAAATTAGGAAGAGATCTCACAAGAACATTGAAACTTCGATCATCGTCGTTTCTTTCAACTTTAGTAGATTAATAAGAATTCTGACAAATGTACTAAATGATAATTTATTGTGTTTGTTAAAATATATAGTAAAATTCCATCGATGTTTTATGTATATTAGCACCTCCCTCCACAAATTTAAGTTATATTGGATTAAGGTATGCAAATAAAGTTTTGGTTAATATTTAAATATTCCTTCTTTATAAAAAACTGAAATCACATTAGTTATCTCACTGATGAAAATGCATTAAAAGGAACACACTTACAGATAAGTTGTAGTGTATACATGACAAACATACATAAAAGGAAACACAAAGTACTTCACAAAACAAATCAAGAGTCATGAAGGAAAGTGTGAAGATCAGCAACAGCAGACAAACAACTTGATAAACAGGTTCTTCGCGGCCTAAATCTCCATTCTTGACAGGCCTCTTCTGAAAGCCCTAATAAACCATCCATGTCTCTTTGTCATCATCACATCCTCAAGAGCAACTCCAACGATAAACCCGCTAATAGATCCAGCCAAAACAACTTTCCAATCCAATTGAATTGGAGACCCCGAATCATCGTCTTCTTTGTCAGCTGAAGGTGTAGGTTGCAAGGCCTCGGAATCTCCACATTTCTTGGGCAATGGATCTCCACATAATCCCAGATTTCCCTCGAAAGAACTTTGATCGAACGTGCGCAATTGGTCCCCTTGTGGTATTGGCCCGGTGAGATTATTGTGAGAAACATTAAAGCTCTGAAGGAAGTTGAGCTGCGTTAGCTGCTGAGGAATCTCACCGGAGAGCATGTTTCTAGAAAGGTCCAATGATTCAAGTTTTGACAAGCCCTTAACAGACAGTGGAATGCGACCGGTGAGCATGTTGTTTGAAAGGTTGAGCGAATGAAGAGCAATGAGGTTTCCAACAAATTCGGGAATCTCTCCACTGAATTTGTTGCTTGAGAGATTAATCACTGCAAGTTCTTCTCGGATCTTCCCATAATATGTTTCCACACTTTTGGTCACAAGTGTCGTCGCATAATTGTAATAGATCAAATACTTGTCTTTAGGACCAACTTGGATGGAGACCCCTGCATTCATATATGTCGAATTGCTCATCTCAAAAGTTTTTCTGCCATTCCAAATGAATATGTATTCACAAGGCAAAGCACCACTGAAACTGTTGTTAGAGATGTCAATGATATGCAAATTCGGAAACTCTGAAGTGTTTTTAGCTCTTTGTATTGCTCCATAAAATCCATTCTTCTGAAGAAAGATAACTTTTAGACGTGGAAGAGTCCCCAACCAAGTGGGGAAGACATCAATCAGCTGATTATTTGAGAAATCAAGATACTCGAGCATCGTACAAATCGCCAGAGATCGTGGAAGTTTACCCTGAAATTGATTGTGACTAAAATCAATCATCAGCAAATTGCTTGCCTTCTCAATTGCCAGAGGAATGATGCCATGAAAAGAGTTGTTTCTCAAATTCAGAGCAAATAAAGAGCTACTTAAGCTTCCTAAACAATGGGGAACAGTGCCACTGAAATTGTTTTGAGACAAATCTAGAATTTCAATGGAACTCAAATTGCAGATCAATGGAGAAATTTCACCGCTTAGCATGTTGTTTGAGACGTCCACATATTCTATGGATGATAGAGGAATCAAGAGTTGTCCTTGCAGCATGTTAGAATGAAGGTCGACTACTTGCAATCTAGCCCAGTGTAGAATGGCCGTTGGCGGATTTTGAAAGCCTGTTATGAAGTTGTTAGAAATGTTGACCCACAACAGAGTTTGTACACTTGTATTCCATATCCATTTGGGTACTTGGCCATGTATGCTATTTTTGGATAGATCCAAGAACCGCAGCTCATTTTGATGCCGAAGAAAATGCGGAAACTCACTTATGTTGCACGAAGACAATCCTAATATCTTGAACTGTGGGAGTGTGGTTCCATTAGTTGTGTTTCTTTCTCCAAAGACAAGTGACAATTTGTTATCGGCTAGACCGAGTTGGGCAAGACGTCTCATCTTGGAAAACATATCAAATTCCAAAGTACCACCTAAGTGGTTGCCATCAAGATATAGAATTTCAAGATTATTGAGCTTGAATAAAGAGTCAGGAATGGAACCATGCAATTCGCTTCCAAGAAGATAAATAACTTTCAGCTCTGTAAGGTTTCCCAGCCAAGATGGGATTGAACCAGAAAATTGATTGCCTTGTAAACGCAAATCAATCAGGTGGGTGAGATTTTGAAGTGAAGATGGGATGTAACCACTTAAACGATTATATGCAAGTCTTAGACGAGTAAGTTCGGTAAGTTTACTGAGTGAAGATGGAATAGATCCATGTAACCCAGCATTACCTAGACCAAGATCTGTCAAAGAAGAGAAATTTGCTAGAAAATCGGGTATTTTCGATAGCACATCTACATAATCGAGGCGGAGAATTTCCAAATGAGTTAAGTTTTGAACCAGGCTTCTCAGAATGGTACTTTTAAGTTTCAAAAGATTTTCTTCAGCAAGTTCATCATACTTCCAGGACAGATCAAGAGTAGTCAACCTGGACAACTGTGAAATTTCATCTGGAACTTGACCAAAGAAAAAAGAAGAAGAGAGGTTAAGATACGTCAACTCTGAAAGTCGACTGATAGTAGTGGGAATTGGAGAGCGGTTGAAATTATTAGCAGCAAGGTTCAGCTTTCGGAGATGAACGAGGTGGAAGAGGGTGCTGTTGGAATAGATAGAACCGTAGATACAGCCATCACTAAGGTCAAGGCCAATCACATGACCGGTCTCCTCGTCACACTCGACGCCATCCCATGAGCAGCAGTCGCTACTCACTCCTTCCGAATCCCACGATGAAGCCTTTGGAGAATCGGTCTCGTATCGACAATTGGATTTGTCAATAACAAAGCTATGCTTGAATTGCAACAAGGCAGACTTCTCGTCCTCATGGCATGACAACTGCAAAGAAGTATTAAAAGAGTTCGCATGAAACGGAAAAAAGTTCATGAGTAGGCTCACCAACAAAGACAACCACATGAGCAACAACCCCATATTGATTTGTTTTTTTTTTTTTTTTTTCCTGTACTCTTCTGATCTGTAAAAGATCTGCTACTGCAGAGATTCTTATAGACTTGACTTTCCCAGTTCTTGATGATATGTATTAATGTTACAGCATAAGAAAGTCGAAGAGAACTTTTTGTGACCACACAAGTATCATGATTTTGTTTGCTTTTTTGCACAAAAGTAAGCGCTTAAAAGTCTGTCTCTCAATGTCTCGATTGATGTTAACATATAGGACTTTTTAGGAATGCATCGGTCTATCCAATTAATGACATACTCTGAAAAGTAATGCTCCGATCACCACGAATTCTTTCCCATTTTTTGGGTGGGACCCTTAATGCACCGTAAAGTAGGGATGTAAGTCGGCCGGGTGGGCTCAGATTTGTCCAAAATTTGGGCCGAACCGCAATAATCGAGCTGGGAAATATGTTAGCCGCAATAGGCCTCAGGACAAAAAAACCCGTACAACATTGGGTTACCTTGGATAGGGTTGGCTCACAAGGATTCGTCGGGTTGCCATACGGTTGGACCAAGGCATGTTGGGCCCTCTAATTTAAATAAATAAAAAACACTTTCCAAGCAAAGTTTTAAAAGTTTTGTTACCTTTGTCAGTTTTGAAAGTTTAGAGAAAATAAGCTCTCTTTATCTTGTTTATTGTACCTACCATTTTTAATGGTGATTCTACTTCTAATGATCAAGTTGATTCTCTCCTAAAATGGAAATCCAACATCCAACGCATTCCCATATCACTCCGAACTTCATGGACTACTACTAAAAGCACTAAAGCACTAAAGTACATTCCCATATCATTCCCCCAAGTCTAAACACATTGAACACATTCAAAAGCACTAAAACAGTAAAAGGTAATAACATCCATTGTCCAATAATCCTAAAAAACATTCCAAGTCCAACAATCCCAATAAGTTTAAGTTAATAAAACATACTTATTAACTGTCCATAAAGTCCAGTCCAGCAAACAGTCCAGCAAAAAAAAAAAAAAAAAAAAAAAAAAGAGTCCATAAAGATAACAATATGTCCAGCAAACAGTCCATAAAGTCCAACAAAATAGGAATTTTAATCCACACCAAACAATTCAATCCGAAATGATAGCATCTTCATTTCTAGCTTGTCCCTCATGTATTGGAACAGAATTTGGAAAATCTTGAGAAGAAAACATATAAAAAAAAATCATGAGAATCAAATTTAGGACAGCAATATAAACAACAAAGACATGAAATAAAGTATAAAAATAAAAAATAAAAAAATAAAAAATAAAAAAAAACAACATTACCTGACTCGATATCTTCATATTCATTAACCTCTTCCATGTCACTAAGGTTGATGTGCTCACGAATACATAGTCAATTTTGTGAACAAATCAATGCCTCGACAATATTGGGGCTCAATGAACTCCTAAAAGAATCGATGATGCAGCCTCCGGTACAAAAAGCAGATTCTGAGGCTATTGTTCAAACAGGTGTGGTAAGAATGTCTCTTGCAACCAACGAGAGAACCTTGTACTTGGTTGCATTATTCTTCCACCAATCTAAAGGAGTAAAGTTTCGCAGAGTTGGGTCCTCCATAGGGTCTATCAAGTATTTGTCCACCTCATTTTTATGCTCATTCACATTCTTCTCCTTCATTTTCTTAACAAAGGAGCTCCACAAACACTTTTTTCCTTCTTCATCAGTTTTTGCCTCCTTTGTACTTGTTGTTGCCGCCTCCTCGCCACTTTTATTAGCCACAAATTCAGCCTTGTCCCCACTATAAAACTCAAACAATCGGTACATATTATCCTTCACCTTCTTTGACAATGTTTCAAAAGTGCAAGAATCATACACAAAAGAGAAACAATATGTCAAATAATCCATTTTGTACCTAGGATTAAGTACGACAGCCACAAAGAGAAGACAATTTAGATTCTCAGCATTCCCCTCATACTTGTCATACTTCTTTTTCATACTCACAGCCATGGATGAAAGCATTAAATCATCTTGTTTGTTTAATTCAGAGAGCTGATTTTGCATCTCACAAAGCTCATGACAGTAAGAATTTGAAGTGACATTCAAAGTGCCATTAAACTTCAAAGTTGTGTCATAAAAAGTCTTTAGGAATTTCACAACTTTAAGAATTTCACAAACACCTTAGCATTCTCCCAATCATCATCAAGTGGCCCCCCTCCTCTTCCCGAAAATAAGACACAAACTTATCATCTTCTTCTTCATACCTCTCAAAAGCTTTTTAAAACTTAATGCCTGCATCTAACATCACATTGGTGGAATTCCATCTAGTGAGGACATCTAGGATTAAGAGACCTTTGTATTCGATTTTCTCCCATTCCACACATGACTTGAATTTCAACAATCTAGCCGAAGAAGACCTCACATACCTCACGGCGTTACGAAATGGCAACAATGGAATTATGTAGGTCTTTTAAACCTTCATTGACAATCAAGTTCACTATATGTGCACAACACCTAACATGCAGAAATTCTCCACCAAAAATAACCTCTTTCCACCCCTTAATCTGCCTTTTCAAGTAGGTAATCATGGAGTCATTTGAGGAGGCATTATCTACAGTCATAGTGACGACTCTCTCAATACCCCAAGCATGCAAATATGACTCAATGACTTTACCAACACTCTCTCCTTTGCAGCTTAGAATTTGACAAAAGTTTATAATCCTTTTTTGCAAAGTCCACTCACTATCAATGTAGTGTGCAGTTAGACACAAGTAACTAATATTTTATGAGGATGTCCAACAATCAATTAGACAAATCCTTTGGCTGCCCTTACTAAATTCAGCCCTTAGTTTCTTCCTCTCTTTCAAAAAAGTTGGTAAATGTCCTTGGTTGTCGTAGCACGAGAGGGGATAGAGAATCTAGGCTGCAGCCTTGATAAAAATTCTTAAACCCTTCACCTTCAACAAACCTAAATGAAAGCTCATCTATAATCACCATTTTTGCTAAAGCTTTTCTACACTTCTCCTTGTTATAGCCTATAACAACAAGATCACTGCCGATTTCAATGTTGATTCGGAAACTTAGAATTTTTTGCTTTTTGTCTTGGATCCTATATGGGTATTTTTTTTGCATTGCTTTTCTATGTGAACCTTCATACTATCGGTCTCATGTCTCCTACTATCACATGCATATTTTGCCCCACAATGGATACACTTACACCTAGGCTCATCTGGATCCTCACCCCTGTATGATTTCAAAATGATCCCAAATATGAGACTTTTTTTGTGACTTCTTCCTCTCTTTCCTGTCTCCTGCCTCTCTTTCCTTGTCAGTTATAGTGACCAACATAGGCACAGGGGTAGGGATGGGTGTGGGGGTGGGTATGGCACTGGGTTCTTTAGGCACAAGGGTAGGATTTTTGGTCTGCCCAGCTTCCATTTCAGTAAGGGACTTAAAAGTGCTTTCAGAAGTTTGGGTAGTTGTGGAGGAGTGGATGATAAATTTTTCCATCTAGCACAAAAATTAAAAAAAGAATACAGAATACATATGAGAGAGACAAAGCATAAAGCAATTTTTTCAGCAAAAAAAAAAAAACAAAACATCAATAATGCCTAACCAAATACAAAGGAATATTGAGCAAGAATCAGATAACTAGTAGTGATCACGAACAAATTGAAGTGAAAACTGAATCAAATAGACAATTCATGCAATGAAAATTGAAAGCATAATATTTCTCAATTCTCACGAAACAAACACAAAAAAAGATGAGAAACCAACAGAAACCTAAAAAACGAAAACATCAACTACTGAAACCAGAAAAATGAGACTCTGAAGTCTGAACTACAAATACGAAAAAAAAAAAAAAAAAAACTAACCTTTCACCCTTCTTCTTCGATCTTCCTAAAAATGCCTCGGACTCGGAGTCAGCGCCTTCTTCTTTGCAAAAAAAACCTGAAAACAAAATCACAATTGACATTTCAAAAATGAGAATAGACGAAAAACAAAATCAAAAGTAAAAACAAAAGAACAGACGAAAATGAGAGAGGGAGAGTGTGAGAGCCGTTGCTTCTAACCTTTCACAGTTCGAAAGGTGTGAGAAGAAGAAAAAGAGGACTCTGAAGACTGTGAGAAACGGCAAAGGAAGTGAGACGATTAAAGAAAATGAGAGCGGGAAAGTGTATGAGAGTCTGAGAGTCACAGAGAAGAGCGGCGCAAAATGAAAAAATGAGAGAGGAAGAAACATTAGGGAGTGGGACTAGGGTTTTTTAGACTGGGTACTAGGTAGTTCGGCCGGGTTGGGGTATAACGGGTTCAAGAAAGTCTGCCCCGCGCCGCCGTACCTGCACATTGCGGATTGGGCATATTTAAAAAAAAAAATAACAAAAAAACAAAAAAGAGCAAAATCCTCAATTTTTGGGTAGTCAGCTCGATTCAACCAGGTTCGTCGAGTTCGGGATGATTTCTTACAGGGTCTTTTTTCTCTCATTTGTTTTGGTTTTGCCGTGCATTGTGCGGTAGAATTAGAACTTGATATGCATCATAAGGAATCAAGGACCATATATATGGACGAGTTTCTAATAGTTACAATTCACAAATTTACAACCATATATGGTGTCTCTAGAGGTGATTAACTTACATCCAACTTTTCAATTATTTCAAAATGCATCTGCAAATTAGGTGGCCTATCATCAACGAAATAATCTCTCTCTGAAACCTGCAATTTCCCCCCACTCCTCTGCGTTCCAGACTGAAGTAGACGAAGCAACTCGTCTTTTTCGTTGCGTATCCAAGATCTTCTGTTGTCACCCCACTGCCTGGGAGTTCCATGAAGTACAAAACGGATTCTTCCATCTCCTTCTCCTTGCGCGAGGCGTCTGGAGATTCTCTCAACCACATCGCCGTCGGTAATGTATGCACCAATAGAATTCAGTCCAACATCCACATAGTGTATCTCCACAATGCTGTTTAAGAGGCTCTCTTTTGTCCTTGGTATGATCCGGGGATGTTCTTCCAACTGTGGTGGATCTTCAGAAGTTCTCAAGTCTAAGAAGCCGAGCTCTGTAACCAGCTGGTTAACGACAGTTCCACCCTTGCTGAATCCGAAGATGAATGTTTTTGGCTGATTCAATTGCCTCTCAGAAATGCTGACTTGGCTTGATTCTTTGTGTCTCTGTGAAAGGACACTACTTACCTGTCATTATCACAAGTTTACATGACTTGAAACATACAAATTCAATCAAACATCTTCGACCAAGGCAATTGACCATAATAATGTTCATGATGTTACAAAAATGTAAAATGTCAGGAAAAGGCAAATTGGTAATTGAGATGTTTTAAGTGTATTATCATGTTAAGAATGCATTAGATATTAGAATCCCACATTGGCTGGAGATATTGGCATGATCCACTTAATAAGGTGAGGGCAATCCTCCCCTAATAAGCCGGTTTTGTTAGGTTGAGTTAGGCCCAATATATTTTGATTTTTATAAAATTAGAGGTTAGTAATTAGTTACCTCCAACTAATCTAACAATCTCTCTCTGTAATCCCGAAAATTTAAGAATTCTTGTTAGAGTTAGTTTCATACATATACAAGTCTCCTTTTTCTAAGTTTTTCTCAATAAGAGTTTCTTCCATTGATTTCGCTTTCCTCACTGAACTTATCTACACGTACCTCTTTAAGGCAATCTGACAAGAGTGAGACGACTGATCCAGAAGCAGGGAATCCAGTTGGGTTATATGATTTTGGCTCTCCCCAATGATTCACCGATGGTATGAAGTCCTTGTATACGGCAAAAGGTCCATTAAACACAGAAGCCTCAACAACCCAAGCATTGACAGAACCACCAATTTTCGAAACCAGAATTTGAGCAATGTTTTGTAAGTCAGATAGCCTCTCGATCACTGGATTCCCAGTCCCAGCAACTCTATCCCCACTGAAAAAGATGGCATTTGCAGAAGGCACCTGACCCTCCAAGTTTAGAAGAAGAAATAAGGTTTTCATGAAACATCAGAGTCAGACCTCATGAAAAGATAGTTTCTAAGAGTGAAAACATCTTTACACACAAAATGTCTATCTAGTTTCTTTCTCAATTGTTATTCACTGGGTGAGCAAAGGAACTCATATCAGGAAACGTCAGACTTTAAAACAAATATTGAGGTACCCACTTGACGTTAGAACAAAAACCAAAAAAAAAAAAAAAAAAATAGCATCACTAAAAATTTAGACTTTTGAATCCTTCTACATAAAAATGAATAAGTTCAGGAAACATTAGTTCTTATGAAAACCTGATTGTTATAATTTTCTACTTCTTTGGGAAAACTTTCACGGTTTCTCTCCTATGCATTATACAATATAATATATATATATATAGTTGGTGAAAGGCAAAGAGATGCAGCAACCTGATAACAAGCTCTGCTATTAGCGTGTAATGGGACCCTCAAAACTCCACTCCACCGCTCCATAACCAAATTTAGCTACAATAATATCTCAAAACGCTAAGGTGAACTTAGAAAGCAAAGCTCACGCAACAATACTTCTAAAAGCACAGATTTTCCCGAACACCAAATACTATGTTTCTTCATCTTTAGCTTTGCTTACATCTTTGGTTTTAGTAATTCTTTAGCTTTGCTTACATCGAATACCAAAAAGTAAAGGAAAACAAACCAAAGGGTAGTTTTTTTTTTTTTTTTTTTGTCTGTTTTAGGTAACAGTTAATAACACCATTCACTGACTAACAGCTTCTAACTTTGCACGCATGAAACCCAACAACATAAACACAATCTTTGAAATAAACAAAAAAAAATATGTATATATATATATATATAAATACACACACATGAATGTATACGCATCATATAAAGTGCAGATTATACTTTTGTTGTCTGGAAAGCAAAGGTTTTCAGCCGGGCAATTTCACAAACAATTTGCGTACATTACCAATCCAAAGAGGGACTTTAAAAACAGACAACTAGCGAGATAGAACGAGCTTACGGTAGATGATGAGCCCAAACAATGGTCACGATTTCCGAGGCAAGAAGGAAACGATACTCAAAGTGATGGAGATCTTTCTGAGTGCTGCCTACTTGAAAGACGAGAACTTTCTATTTAAACTCAAATTAAGATTGGCTATTTCGCTGTTATGAAGGCACGTTGTTTTCTTGTCTCTAATGTATATTTCCATTGTACATATCAACTAAATAAAAGTGTGCCCAAAAAAAAACAAAAAAAAAAACAGAGGAGAAAGCGACTCTATCTATCTATCTATCTATCTATCTATCTATCTTTGAGGAGATATGAGCGACAAACGACAACACCTCCCAGGAATAACAAAGTTTTAAAAATGAAAACTCCCATGAAACGACAATAATGCGAAAACATCATTTTAGAGATTACAGTCCAACGAAGAACATCATCGAACAAAGAATCAACGACAAAGAGAAATAAACGCGTCGTCAACACCATAAAACGATAATAACTGAAAACGAAGACATTCAGAAAATGATGCCCAATAAACAAGCATAAGTTTAAGAACGACAATAAGTAAACGACAAGATCTACTGAAAATGGCAATTGATTAAAGGAAAGACAAGTTTGCAAAAAATAAAGATTAGAAGAACGACACGTATAGAAAACAATAAATAAATAATAGTTGAAAAAAGAGACATGATTACGACAACTTCATTTTAGAAGACGGCATAAATTTAAGAACGACTAGATCCTGAAACTACTAAGCCCCATCATTAATGACACAACTAAGAATGACAAGATCTACCGCAAACGACAATTTAAAAGTTCAAAATCGACAAGATCACAAGACAACAAAGCCTTAAGTTTCGTTCGGTCTTTACACGATGTTAAAATATATTAATCACAAAAAGAACCTAACAATTTATTCTTATTGTCACGCTATCCACATTTTGGAATAAACGCTCTTGCGAAATTCTTTCTAAAAGAAGGTTTTTTTTTTCCTGAAACGATATCAAGTATTGATAAAAGTAATTTTAGACCTCTAAATCTGATTAAAATCACGTTGTATTAAAAAAAAATATATAAAATAAATAATTTTTAATAGAAATCTCATAACTGAAAAATAACAAATTACCAGTTATTTATTTTTTTAGTCCTACTATAGAAAACTTCCATTTTATGTGGGTGCGTGTTTACTCTTTTATATTTTTTATTTATTTTTGGCTTCGGACCATTACAAGACTTGTACAGTAAAACTGAAAAAAAATAATATTATCACCTTTTTCTCGTTTTGGAACAAAAATATGACCCACTACCGCACACTTTCCATGCTCATTTCATGCATATGCTAAATTGCTAATCACACATATTCATAATTATTTGTACGCATAAATTTATGTGTCGTGAAACCTTTTAACTTTTATAAAGCGAAAGTACAAATTAGTACCAATCGAAACCTTTGAATATTTTTCAAGTTAGGCGGCTTTTATATGTATATAATATCGTCTTAATTATACAGTCCAAAAAAAGAAACCAGTGGCTTATTTTCTCTTAATTTTAGTTGATATTCAGATAACGGGAATAATATTAATAAAGTAATTCGATCTGAATTTTGCTACTTAACTATATTTCTTTTGCATTTCTTATCCTCTCTGGGTTTCAAAATTTTGTTTTCGTTTCCTTTTCTTCTGATGGAATTGTATGTTCAATATCTCTAGAATTCGAACTGTAGCATACTTGACGATTTGATGTAGAGCAAATGCTGCAATATTCATCTCAAATTTCGAGATGGGCAAAAAAATATAATGATTTTCTAGTCAAAATATAACACTTCATAAAATTGACTAAGATAATTCGTTTGTCAAAAATGATCGAAATGGGGACTAAAATATTGAAAGGAAAAGTTTATCCTTTACATGTACTTCTTTTGACCCATCTGGTACGGTGTATTAGTCAAACCGGGCGAGTCATATTAATGTCACATATTAGTCATATAATTATTGTAAGCCTGCGTTTATACTTTTTAATTAGATATGACATTAAAATATCTAGAAATTACAAAAATTATTTCGAATTTAAAAATTATTTTCAAGTCCCGCCCCTAATTAATTAGTTGGTCACATTAAAGAAAAATTGTCATATTACATATATATGTACATTCTTTTTTCAATCTGGCCAACTAAATTAGGACGAACTTGAAGAATTTTTTTTATATTTTCACTTTTCTAGATATTATATCCATAAGAAAAAAGTATAATACACGGAAAGGTTTTAATTTATAGCATTTTTTTTAAGACATCACCATAACCACCATAAAATATTGTTCTCAACTAAATTCTAAAACATGGGTTTTCGTTCGTTTAATTTGTTAATCAAGTGTGTGTGTGTGTGTATACTCATATTTTGTAAATTCAAAATTACATATGCTAACAATTTTTTAAGTTTTACACGTACGTTTATGGTTAATGACGCGCTTAAATTTCAGGGAGACCATTGTTATTAACGCGGGACAAGATGAATACCTCGGAACTTGTACTTCGCAGATTGTTTATTATATAAAAAAGGAGACAAATACTCTCAGAATGTATAGGTTTTAAATTTTACTCTTTACTTTTTATTAATACTTATAATCAAAAAACTATATTAGTCAAAATGTATTAATTAAGAATAAGAGATAAAAATTTAGATTAATACACTATTAATGATAAATTCAATAATTTTCTCTTTCTTTTTCTCTCTTACCTTATACATTTAACGCACGTACACATGAACAAAATAAAAAGATTATATATAGGGAGAATATAGTAAATAATAGATTTTTGAGGATGTTTGGTTGAGGAATTTGTACCCTGATTCGAATTATGGTTAATGGTTCGCTATAATATTTTCTCTCACAAAAAATACACGTAATCGAAAAATAGTTCTAATTCATAAACCAAACGTTAAGTAAATAATGTATTTTAAAACTATTTGAAAAAAACAACAATTTATGTAGTAAATAAATCATTTGCCGCATAACATTTACAACTAGTAAAAATATTTTTTTCACATAATTTACTTTTTTACGATTGATAAAAAGAATTTTTTTATATAAATAAAGATTTTTTAAAATTTTTTACCACGTAAATTATTTTTTACCGATTATAAATGAATCATATACACAAAGTTATATCCCGATTGCTTTGGGTAACTATTCAATAATATATCCAAATCGAGTAGTCATATGATCTGTTTACATTCTTGTTAAATGTTTCATTTATTGCTCATGCAAAAAATATATTTAGTACGTAATCTTTCGATGCCTCAAAAGCGAAAGTATGTATATGAAGGAGATGGTGTCTGTTATGATATATACGGTGTTCAACATTTAAGAGATCAAATAAGTTCAATCCAAATATATATATATATATATATATATATTTATTTATTGAGATCGTGTATATATATGGATCGTATTGATATCCCAATATTTGATAAATTAATTTGGTTTTTAAAACTTTCCTGCCCGAAAAAGTAATCAACTGAAATGAATCTTTTTATAAAATAAACAAGTATATAGTACTACTTCCCAAATTGGCGATGAATTTCAAGCACTTTAAAAACATCTTTTGCCGTTTGTCTTGTGCTCCGACTATATTCTATTTATAGTATTAGATATTAATTTTTTAGGTTTTTCCAAGCTAATTGATTCAAAATTTCAATCACAAGTATATAGTAGCTACATCCCAAATTAACGATGAAAATTCGGCTAATTATAACTAGTTAACTTAATACAAATGCAGAAAAAATTCTGGTGCTCTACTAGAGACTACAAGATTACAATCATTTATTATTCGGCGTCAACCTCTGCCTGAATGTTAACATTATCGCCTAATTGAGCCGCTGAGCAGATATCAGCCCTCTCTCTTTTCGGCTTCGGCGAGCCGCCATCAAATGAAATAGAAAATGAGGATGAATTAGCCTCCGGCGGCGGCGGCGGCGCCAATCGGCCCCTCCGAAGCACTCTGACCGGCTCCGGCGCGCCAAGGAGGTGAGCGAAATTCAGCTTGGCCTTGGAGCCGCGCATCTTGAAAGCGGCTCGGTCGTAAGCCAAAGCCGCATCCTCTGGCTTCTCGTAAGTCCCGAGCCAAATCCTGGAGCCATTCTTCTTGGGGTCCCTTATCTCAGCTGCGTACTTCCCCCGCGGCCTCTGCCTCACTCCTCTATAACTCAACCCTCTTGGCGGTGGCGCGTGAGTCCTACGCGCCGCCATATCCACCTGAAAACTAACCGCCTCCGACAGCCCATAACAGGTACTCGCCGTATCTTCAACTTGAATGTCACTCCAAAACTCCGTCAAATCAAAACTATCCTCCATAGGGCTAATTAAGTACTACTACCAGTACATGATTTAGCTGCCGGAGAATAATTTTCAGCTGTGAGAGTGTCATGATCATCAAATTCATCTTCTAGAAGAAATTGACGAACGGAATCCAAATAGATATCTAACTCAAATTCGTTGGTGTTCTGTTTTGCCATTTTCTTGTGAGATCGACCAATATTTGTTCTTTCTCAGTTACTATAGATGTCTGTTAAGTACGTATGCGTGAGTATTAATATTGCATGGCTCGTGAGGAGTGCGAAAGACTATGAATATAATATATAATATTATGTATAGCACAAGCGCACCCATTACTACTTGTACTGTAGTAGTACTTGTGCCTTTGCCCTTTCCAAGAAACTTCAGGTAATTTAGTCACGTTTATGATGATGATATTGTGTGAATATATATATATATATACATATAGATATATATTTATGTATGGATTTGAATATTGGGAAATTCTTTAAACAAATTTATTGTTGTCCTTCTACTTGGACTAAAAGGTAATTTGGATTTTAGACATTTCACTGCTTTACCACACTATCTAGCCAGGTGAAAAAGTACATATTGGAGAAATATGTGCTCGTGTTGAAATAATTACCTTTTTCTTTTTCCCTTAAGAAGTGTGTATATATTACATAATTATTAAATATAACACTAGATGTAAGAAAATAATTAATTTCCTATTTAATAAGTGTCTCTTATAAAGTGAGCTTCATGCTACTATATGACAGTGTGAGAACAATATGGTTCAACTTAGCTACATATTTCTTTTTTTCCCGAGATTTGCATATTTGTCACTATGATACTTTGTATATATTTTTCAAATATTGCATGTTTGAGAAGAAGATGAAGAGAGTACAGAATAATTAAGGGCTTGTTTGTTTCATACGTTTAAATTTATGATTTTGATTTTGTTAAAGTATTTTCCTCTTATAAAAATTTAAATATTAAATGTTAAAATAAAAAATTACTGATCTAAATATATAAATCAAACGGGCCCTAAGACACAGTGCCGCACCCAATTTGTGCACATGATTGGTCTCACCATTTCAACGCAATGTCTCTAACAAATCAAACAATATATATACCTCAAGAAACACAAATATATATATATATATCTGCACAATATTTAGTACATCTTCAGTCTAAAGTTTTTTTTTTTTTTTTTTTTATATATAGGTCAGAGTCAGAAGCATCAAAAGTTCACCTTCTTAAAATAAGGTTAAGAAACACCATGACATCCACATGTAAATAGAATAAGAATTTTAGTTAGTTGTCTATAAATTAATTGAATATTATTGAGCTGTTTGCTGTTGAATTTTCTAATGGGGAACTATATATTATTAGTTGATCGAATAAAAAGAATAGTAATGAAAATTTTGTTTTTGGAATTTCAAGACACGGCAACATGAATCGATATTCCCAATGAAATATTATAATAAGCAAGAAAAAACAGAAAACGGAAATGGGGAGCTCTGACCACACGGTTTAACATAACCATTAATATATAACTTGTTTTTTTTTTTTTTTTTTTTTTGAAACTAATATTTACTTTCTTTTACTATTATCTAGTAGCAATTTTTTATTTTTTATTTTTTGAAAGAAGTTGCATTTTCTTTTACGAAGTTCTAATTGTAATTTTTTTTACCGGCAATTAATTGCAATTCAGTATTGTACGGCTTATACCTTGTAATATTTTGAAGTACCTTCTTTATCCCGTTTATTTCACTGATTTAAGTTTTTAATTTCAATTTTACTATAGTTAAAAGCTCTCACAAAAAGTCACATCTAACTTTTTTACTACATGTAAAAACTCTCACATAAAGTTACATCTCAACTCGAATTAAAAACTCGAATAAGTGAGCTGAACAATACCTTGTAATAATTACTTGGGTAATTTTGTGTTTTTTTTTTCCTTTTATTTTATTTTCTTTTAATTTTTAGTTTTTATTTTATTTTATTTTTGCTTAAAGATGTGTAAAGGGCTTCATATTTTAAAAGGAGATTTGTTACTAAGCATGGTTTTCACCGGAGTTCATATGAAAACCATTATTTATTTGTTTGTTTACACGGGAATCGATGAGAAAATTTGAACAAGGAACTCAAATTCTGAGGTCAATACACCACAACAACTAATTAGCATTTAAGACAAATTGGAACTAATGTCTTTGTATCATTTGTAAAAAAAATTAAGTATGAACGACAGGCGACGAGGCCGTTAGCGCTATGTCTATGAAACCAAAAGAAAATAGAAGTGTTCAATAAAAGGAGGTGAAATATTTTTAGGGGACCGTCTCCTGTAAGCTGTCTTATTGGTAGGATCAATTTTCTGGCCGTAAGATCTGGTAAAAATCAAATGAGATTGAAAAAGTAATGCATAACAGACAGTTTTTTATACAGATCTGACAGCTAAAAATAGTTGAAAAAATAAAACTATCAGTAATTCTATTTTTCTGATTCAACAGGAAAAACACCTTACTTTCATATCATGATTCATGTCAACATTTCCTTTAAGGGTTATCTAAGAAATGGTCTTTGAATTACATATTTTCAAAATGTCTCAAATTTAATTTTCAACCTATCAGTTTGTTTTACTTTTAAAATGTCTCAAATGGTCTTTGTATATTCAATGTTCTATTAGTAAATTATAATTTAGTCAGCATATCACAGGTATATTTTATCATTTCTTTAAAATCTAACATGCAAATGATTAAAATTTAAACAAAGAGAAATCAAGGATTAAATTTGGAGCGTTTTAAAAGCCATGGATTAAAGAGTGATTGAGAATAAAATTCATGGATGAGATTAACCCTCCTTTAAACACTGGAATTGCAGATATTATGGAAATTGAAACCGAATACTTCGTTGACCTTGATTAGATTACTAATATGCTTTTAAAAACGAAAAAAAACAAAACAAAAATAAATCTAATCAATCAAGCTACATAGTATTATTCCAATACTCCCAATTCATCAAACAATCATAATCGTCACTAAATTTAATATCTTCCGACGAACCAACCCCGATCTGTCTCCTTTTGGCCGGACTCAGTGAGCTGAATTCCCACATTGACGAGGACGTCGAAGGCTCCGGCGAACGGCGCTTTGGCTTTATCCTAACCGGCTCCCGAGCCTCCGAGCCAATGAGGTGAGGGAAATTGAGCTTGGCCTTGGCTCCCCGCATCTCAAAAGCCGCCCGGTCATAGGCCAACGCCGCGTCCTCGGGCGTCTCGTAAGTCCCGAGCCAAATCCTCTTCCCGTTCTTCTTCGGGTCACGAATCTCCGCCGCGTACTTCCCCCACGGCCTCCGCCTCACCCCTCTAAAATGCATATTACTTCCACATTGCGGCGGCGCGTGACTCTCGAGCGCCGCCACTGATGTGTCATCATGCCCACACGCCGCCGGGGTAGCCTGAAGATCATGGATGAAACACTCGGTTTTCGCCGGAGATGCGTTTTCTTCGGTGGAGGGGCTCCATCCGGAGTTGGCTGCGTCGCTGAGAGCTCCGTAAACGACCATGTCATCGGTGTCGTCCAGCTCCGTGAAGGGCAGATCAGCACTCCAGTTCTCCGACAGAAAGATGTTACTGAAGCTCGAACTCCGACAATTCATCGGAGAATCAGAATCAGAAGAGATATCAAATTGATCATCACGGAGGAGATGCTCTCGGATAGCCTCGAGAAGAGTAAGATCGGACTCCGAGGAAGTCATCACTCCTGACATTGCGGAAATGTACACTAGCTCACAAAGGACTGAGAGGTACTGGTGATGAAGTACTGGTTTTTTTTATTTTTTATTTATTTTTTGTTTTTTTTTTTTTGAAGGTTTTGGTTGTTAAAATGGCTTTGGATGTAGAATAAGATTTGTGTGTTTTTGTGGAATGGTAATCTATATATAGATCTATATATAGATCAAGAGTAGGTTGTCATTTAGAAACTTTATATATAAAAACATATATTATTTTTAAAGGATGGAAGCCATGTTCGTTGAAGGTGTACCCTTTTCAGTCACATGTAATAACTGCGGGAAAGTGCTGTATAAATTATAATTTTTTAATATATTTATTGGATATACACAGAATGAAATAATTGATTGGTTTAATTAATATTTTGTGCACCCTGCCAATTGTTGCGTTGAAGTGGGTGCATTATTGAATTTCAATTGATAATTTAAATAAATAGTACATCAACTAATTGGCATAATATTCCTTTCTGATAGAGGGGAAAAGAAAACAAACAAGAAAAACTTGGCATAGTATTCGGTTGATATAGTACTGGTTGTTGTTAATATTGTTGTATAAATATCATCCAATCTAAATTTTCTCTTAACTTAATTAGGGTCGGATTTGAACTCTACATTTTATAATGATGTCAGACGTAAAAATATTGCTAGATTATATTTGTTGCTACTTTTCTTCTCCTTTCTATGCTATATATCAAATGGTCCAAAATTCTAATTGAATAATTTCATGTACTCTTCGCCTAGTAAAAACGATCATCTACTACCACACATGTATATACTGGTGGGGCGGGAAATGAATGAAAAAACAAAACAAAAGAAAAAAGATATAACATGTCGTTCTGTTGGTTGTTGCCACGTTTATTGGGTATAAATTTTGAAAGGACATGGTCCAGTTTTGAAAGAAAATTGTTCTTCTATGAGTTTAGCATTCCATTAATTTTAGTTTCGTGTGTTTGTATACTTAATGATATCTGGAATTTCGTTCTTTATTTACAGAAGTCAGAGTCACGTTTGATCCTTTTTTAATCATGATTTGATGTCGTTTTCTTTTCTTTTTAAAAAAAAAAATTGTGATAATAACCAGTGATTTACTTAAAATATGGTAGAATCATTTATTGACATACACAAAACTAATGGATGATATATCATTGATCTTGTAAATTAATCAAAATATACCAAAGTAGATATTCATCAATCAGTAAAATAAAATTAAAAAAATCTATTTTTAATTTTTAAAAGATCGAGAATTAAAATGAATTATTTTTTCAGTGCAAGAAACTTACAAGCACTTTTGTCATTTGAGTTCCTTTTAAAAAGGTTTTTTTTTAAAGAAAATTTTAAGACAGTACTTGTGACGTTTCCTTCAAAATATACTCTAAAAGGTAAATTTTTGTGTGAATCTAAACAAAATTACAAGATTCCACTGTTATATCTAACCAAAAGTAAAGCCATTGATGCAATAGTTCTTGACTATCTCTCTCTTTGTTTGTTTTTTTTTTTTAATTATTTTTTTAAGCCATTTGCTTGAAATCTGGCATTGCAACATTTGGAAAAAAACAACCCATGAAGCACCAATTATATGGTAAGATTTAGCCTTGGTGAAAACCAAGCTTTTCATTAGCACAAATTACAAAATTTTGCAGGGAGGTCGCCTGATAAATAACCAAAATTTTTACAATTCCATACGTTGTTTAAACTAATAATTCATTGTTGTTCCCAATTGATCAGCCAAACGTAATCTCCACTTTCAATACTTTCCCATAAACCAACGCCAAAGTGCCTCTTTTTAGCCGGATTCGATGAGCAAGTTTCCGAGGATGACGATGAAGGCTCTGGCGAACGGCGCTACGGTGTTATCCTAACCGGCTCCCAAGCCTCCGAGCCAATGAGGTGAGAGAAATTGAGCTTCGCCTTGGCTCCCCGCATCGCAAAAGCCGCCCGGTCATAGGTCAACGCCGCATCCTCCGGCGTCTCATAAGTCCCGAGTCAAACCCTCTTCCCGTTCTTCTTCCGGTCCCGAATTTCGGCCGCGTACTTCCCCCACGGCCTCCGCCTCACCCCTCTAAAATGCATGTTCCTCTCCATCTGCGGCGGCACGTGAGAATCACGTGCTGTATCTGTTGGCGTGTCATCTCCACGCGCCGGTGTAACAGACTGAAAATCATCAATGCAACTCTCGGTTTTCACCGGAGAGGTGCTTTCTTCAGTGGAGGCCGGGCTCCATCCCGACCATGTCATCGGTGTCGTTCTCCTTGAAGGGCAATTCAGCACTCCAACTCTCCGCCAGAAAGATATTACTGAAACTCGAACTCCGGCAATACATAGGAGAATCAGAACTGTCAAGAGAATTATCAAATTGATCCTCACGGAGAAGTTGCTCTCGAATAGTGTGGAGAAGAGCAAAATCGGACTCTGAGCAAGTCATCACTCTAGACATTTGTGGAAACTTATTCTAAGCTGGTAATTATTATTTTTTTTTTTAATTCCCGAAGATTTTTGGTTTGTTGAAATGGCTTTCGATGGAGAATATGGTTATGTATATTTTGTGAGTGATGGATCTATTATATATAGTTGGAGAGTTATATTTTATTCTGTTTTTATTTCATTTTCAATTTTTTTTTTAAAAAAAGCAATATGGAGGCCATGTTCGATGAAGGTGCACCTTTTTAGTCACATGTAATAACTGCGGAAAACAATTCAAAAGAAAAACTAAAAATAACTCGTAAAAGTACAAATTTTAAAATGAGGATACTATAAAAAATTGATAACATAATTTGATTGCTTGGAATTTTTGTAACTTTTTCTTTATGCATTTTGGAGTTGAGTTGTGACGTTTCATTAAATATTAATATTTGGTCGATGTTTAGTAGTATTGGTTGTTGTTAATGTTATGTTATCCAAGTTATGGTCCCGTCTATATGCTATCAAATCTCTTATCTTAAAAACAAAATTTAAAAAAAAAAAAACTATGCTCCTATGGTCCATTCTAATTGAGTAATTTTATGTACGCTTTGCCTAGTAAATTCACACCCTAATTACTAGGGGCCGGTAACTAAGAGCCCGTTTAGTTGAAGGATTCGTTCTCTGATTCGAATCATGATTCATAGTTTGTTACAGTATTTTCTCTCACAAAAAACACACGTAAATCGAAAATGGTTCTAATCCATAAACTAAATGGGCTCTAAATGCAACGGAAAGAATGAATATTAAAAGCTAAAAAAATGTGACAATTTTATTAGCACAACTACTTCTTGAACTATGAGTATTATTACATCACTACAAGAAAAAGGGGTTTTTGCGATGACTTTTTGTCGCCGCAAAAACCCGCATGTCATCACAACTAACGGTTTTTGCGACGACATGTCATCGCAGATTTGTCGCCGTAAATAATTCGTCGCAAAACTTTTTTTTGCGACGAAAAAGTATCGTTGCAACTGTATTTACAACGACAGGCTGTTTTTGCGACGACAAGCGTCGCTAATACGTCGTTGCAAAATTCGCGTGATATGATTATTTTTTGCGACGACATTTTAAATTGTCGTCGCAAATAATCTTATTTTTTTTGCGACGACAAGCCTAAAATAGTCGTCGTAAAAAACTGAAATTAATTTTTTTTTATAATTTTTAAAAAATGGCAATTAATTAATTTTTAATAATTTTAATTAAATATTATTATGTTACATACTGAATATAATTTATTAAGATACATTAAAAGTGAAATATAAATTAATATTAAAAACAATAAATCTAAATAAATTTATAAAATATATTATGAATACTACATGAATTGCATATATAATGTTCAAAAAAATATAAAAGTCTAAATAAAGTAAAAAATAAAATAGTACATATAACGGAATTAATCATCTAAGTTTGCAGCATCGCCAATAGCTGAATCATCATCTGAAGGAGGCAGAAGAACGTCTAGGTCAACTGGTTCTGGACGATCAATCGTAGGTAATTGGATGTTGGGCTGTAATTTAGCCACCAACTCTAACACCTTTACCTAATTCTTATAAATCTTAACTTGTTCCCGGTACGATTTCTTTAAATAACGACTCACACGTGGGTTAGGTTGAGCCGATGATGTTGCGTCTGAGTATGAACCAGCAGATGAAGGAGAAGCCCCAGAGTAATGCTTTTGGGAGAGCGTCAGACCCACTCCTATCTTATGTCATCTACGCATGCCAAGAACTTGCTCCAAAACCCCATGATTGTTAAGGAGTTGCATTTGTACGATCACCGTCTTTGTACAAATGCAACTCTTTGCGCATCCCCATATGTTGCAGATCGATTCTCACCTTGTCTGTATCCTTACTTTTTCCGTCAATGTCTAGAATTGTGCCCAATAAGCTGTCGCATACATTCTTCTCAATATACATGACATCTAAGTTGTGACGTAACGATAATGACTTCCAATAAGGCAACTCCCAAAAGATACTCTTCTTTGTCCAATTAAGCTCGCTTGCATGTCTTTTTCACTTCTTCCCGCCATACTTTTCATGTTTACCAGGCAATCTGAGGGACACATTTTGTAACTGAGCTAAGATTTGGTGAACAGATTTTCGAGCCGGTGGAGGTCGTTTCTCAACCTTACCATCAAACTTTTTATTTTTGCTCATCCCATGTTTAATAGGAAGCCATTGCCGAAGGCCAACAAAATAAGTCTTACTTGTTATCCACTTTGAAGGGGTTGCATCGTTGTAAGTTAGGCATGCTAAATAGCCCTAACCACTCCATCCAGATAAACTACTACGAGCAGGAAAATCATTAACTGTCATGAGCAACATAGCCCGCATCTGAAATGATGTATTCGAAACTGCGTCACGTACAATTACTCCTTCATTCCACAAATCTTTTAGCTCATCCACAATGGGCCTTTAAAAAACATCCATATCCTTTCCGGGTGCATTTAGGCCAGGAATCAACAATGTCAACATCTTATAAGGATCCTTAGTGCATAACCACATAGGTGAATTGTAGGCCGTTAAAACCACCGGCCACATATCATATGAGAGGCTCATGTTCTCAAAAGGATTGAAACCATTAGCGGCCAACCCCAAGCGAACATTTCTCGGCTCACGTGAAAACTCAGGATACTTTTCATCTACCTCCTTCCATTCATTACCATCGACTGGATGACGCATTAAATCCTCATCATTTGAATGCCCACGCTGGTCCCACATCATATCTTTAGCTGTGTGACGAAAACCGTACAGACGCTTCAACCGATCTGTTAACGGGAAATAACGTAGTACTTTCCACGACACTTGTTTAGTACCCTTTGTCTTTTTTTTCTTCCAACGGGATGTTTTACATACGAGACACGTTTGTAGATCAACGTTCTCCTTCCAAAACAAAGCACAATCATACTTGCAGACATGAATTGTTTCGTAACCCAGTCCAAGTTTACTCATAAGCTTCTTCGACTCATAATGAGAAGAAGGTAACTTCACATCTGGGAATGCATCTTTCAATAGATTTAACAGAGCATTTATACGCTCATTAGGCCACTTGTATAACACTTTTAAATGCATCAATTTCACTAAGAAATTTAAAGATGAATACTTAGTGCAGCCCGGATACAATCCCACCTGGAGCTCAGAAAGTAAATCCTTAAATTCAGCGTACTGTGCATCTATGCATCTTCTAGATCCACATGCGTCTCATCCAACATTTCATGGTCATCATTAATCTCAGCAACGTCTTTTAAGACTGCAAACATCTCGTCTCCTGGTTGATTAACTATTGAGTCGACACCTGAAACCGCTTTTACTTCACCATGGTGAATCCATGTACTATACAATGGATCAAAACTAAATCGATGTATATGCGCTCTCACAGTTTCTACTAGATACATTTCATGATTTCTTCATTTCACACAAGGACAGCTGATATGGCTAATTGAAGTTGCATAATTTTTTGGCGACCTCAAAAAAAGCAGATAACTCATTCCAATATTCATCCGACAATCGGTTCCTCAAATAAATCTAATTTTTGTCAATCGACATTTCAACTATAAACAACAACAGACATAACAATTTACTAATGTGTTTAATTAATTTTAATTTTACTCTTTATTAACACAATTAAATTTTATTAATTAAAGTTTGTTAATGAACTTATTAAAATTCTCATTTTCTAACTAAACTTCGCCAGCATAACGACTTATTTTTCATATGATCTAAAAATTAAAACCTGCAGAAAAATAACTTTAAAAGATTTCAACACACCATAGCTGCAAGATGTGCCACCCAGAATAAGAATCATAAACATATACTAAATTTCAACAATATAACAAAATCATAATTCAAATATTGTCATCATAATCCCGAATTCATACAACCAAAAACTACAATAATTTTAAACTAAATAAATATAAAAAACTTACAAAGTTCAAACCCACTAAACGGGGGCTGAAAATAGCAGGATTACGTCTGAGAAACCGTGCAAACAGCAACAAAAGTAAAAAATGAAACGCCTACATCAAATTAAAACATAGAACATAATTTTCAAACACCAAAATTAACATTTTATTAACATCTAGAGTAACATATAGACACAATTTTTGATTAATCAATGCAAGTTTAAATTTTCACATTCTCATAACCATAAAAAATGACTAAACTCGAACAAAATTTACAAACCAAATCTCTAATATTCAACTCCTAGAGCATCTAAATTCTCGTAACTCAATCCAAACACATACTCAATCCTAACTCAATCCATTTTCTTCTTCCATTTTCTCGGCAACCAAACAAAAATTACAAAAAAAAGGAGAAAACCCACCTCTTTGCAATCCTGGCGGGGGCGGGGCGGCGGCAGCAGGAGAGGGAAAGAAGAGAGAAGGGATCGAAAGAGAGAGAGAGAGAGAGAGAGAGAGAGAGAAGGGAAGAGAAAGATGGGGGGCGGCGGCGGCGGCAGGAGAGGGGAAGAAGAGCGAGAGAAATAAGCGAAGAGAGACAAAGGAAGAGAGAGAAAGGGAGGGCCGGCGGCGGGGGCGATAGGAAGAGGAGGCAGAGAGAGAGAGAGAGCGTCGGGGGAAAATGAAGAAGAAGAAGATAGGATATATTAGGTCAGATTTATTTGCGACGACATTGTCGTCGCAAATAAATTTAAAATGTCGTCGCAAATAATAAACAATTGTCAATTATTTGCGACGACAAAGAGACAATGTCATCGCAAATAACCTAAAATTATTTACGACGACATTTGTCGTCGCAAATAGTAAGATATTTGCGACGACTTATTGTCGTAAAAAATGGATTACCTTGGCGCCAAAAATTCGTGCCATTGAAATTTACACTCCAAAATTATTTGCGACGACATGGTTATTTTATTTAACGGGAGTAATTGTGACGACATGTCGTCGCAAATATGGTATTATTTGCGACGACAAATGTCGTCGCAAAAAAAGTCGTCGCAAAATGCATTTTGATCTCTAAAGTTTTTATTTTGATAGTTAATCACACCTTAAATTTTATTACATTTTATCAATTTTAATACTCGACATTTAAAAAGTGTATAACAAATAAAATTCTGGAGAGTTTATCTACATATGAAAAAGAACAATATTTAATTTTTTTATTTTTTATTTGTGAAACAAAGCTCATGAATCACGCCTGCATCTGTTGGTACATACATGATAATATACATTTTTGTGTAACGTACTGGCTTCTAATAAGTTCTATTTAACAACTAAACGTGGATTATTTTATTTTTTGTAAACCCTCGCATGCTTTTAGTTCCGTCTCTTCTCAGCTAATTAATTAATTGTAAACTTTAGATATACACTAGCTTTAGTTATAACTAATGATCTGTACTTCCATAATATATAGAACAGAAAATATTTTCAAGAATATTACGTATTTCATAATTAATATATAGCTACGACATAGAAGAAAAGATGCTAATACGATATTATTGAATACATTTTTCCTTCTTATAAACATTTATTTTGTTTTTAGTCGTATAAAATGATGGCAATACTATTTAAAAAATTCCCACAAAATAATTAAAAATCCCACACACTTTTTCCAACAAATATGAACTACCCAACGAATTTAAGAAATAAACAAAAAAGGTGATGGCAGAGAGATCAGATAGGTGACTAATGGAGACTTATTTTATGCTAAACTCTCGTGTTTAATGACATCTGATATAATGAAGTGTTAGCCTTGTTAGGCGCAGGCTGTCGTCACCTAAAAATCCTAATTTTAATCTCATAACAATTAACAAAGATTTGTGCTCCCAAAAAGAGCCATAAAACTAACAAAATTGTTAGGTAATAATCTCACCCTGTACAGATCATGAGTTCATCACTCATCATTTCAAACTCTATTTTTTTTAAAGCTATATATGTAAAATCTGGCCTAATTAATAACCCACATTTTACTCTTAAACTCATTTTCTTCCAGCTGATAAATTCCAGGTTTTCAAAAAGAATGAACTCCACTAATTAATTTATAATGATACAAAGTGCAGATAACCCCATCTTCCGATTAAATTAATCATGATTTAAAACACAATATATACACGATACAGAAGGTTGCCTTAAATCAGCCAAATAAAATATATGTAAATATAAAGAGAACGTTTTGACAATATTAGACAAGAACGTTGCCTTATAAGTCACAGTTTCTCCCTTAACTATTCTCTGTCATTGGATATTTAATTTGTGGGACCACTCAAAAATAACCAGTAAAAGTTCGTGATAATCAGCACAAACACGCACACATATATATAATTATATATTTGTATATAGAGATTGTTATTTAAATTTTTGATTGATTCGGCCTTTCAAAATACAGTCGTTGCTTGTTAATAAAGAAAAAATAATAATTTTAACCACTGAAAAGTCCACAACGTATTTCAAATGATGTAAAAGCGTGCTATTTGTCTGTATTAATATATATATATATATATATATATATACTTGGTAGAGTTTTTGTAGACAAAATTAGTAGTGTATATGTATGATAATTAAGAAGTTGGAAAGACTTATCTTTATTGCTTCATTAGCTATAAGTAAACAGTTCTACTAATATTGAAGGTGGAGAGGAATCCCCACCTACTACAGTTTTGCACCCTTTACTTACCTAACTTAATGGAAGGGTTCATTGAGTCGAACATCTGTCTATAGCCCGGTATCTTCATACCTCATCTAGACTATAGTAAAAAAAAAAAAAAAAAAAAAAAAATCTCGTAACATTATAAAAACTCAAAGAATATTCCATTAAACTTAATCATGTAAAAAATTCATCAATATATCTACTAATGTCTCATGAAAAAACAATCCAGACTTAAAATCAAATTAAACGCTAACAATACTAAATCAAACTCTCAAAGCTAAATCTATAAGGATTAATGGGCATCATAAGTAAAAATGTCATTCCAAATTTAATTGTAAATACACGTTTGCCTTTAATATTAACGTTGAAGTCAAATCCCTCCCTCGGGTTCAGAAAATAAAAGTGTGCAAGACTTATATGTCCAAAAGTAGTAGAATTGTTGCAATATATTTGGAAGAAATTGATATATTTTAGTGGCATAATAACTAAATTTTCATTGAATATCCAAAGTTTTACAATTTCGAAAGTGTAACTACATCAGCTAAATGTGATCCATCAACATTAAATTAATTCATTATTGTTCCCACTTCAGCAAATCGTAACTGTCTCCACTTTCAATAATTTCCAAAGAACCAATTTTTCCGACGTGCCTCCTTTTTGCCGGACTAAACGACCAAGTCTCCGACGACGTCGACGATGACGGTGATGATAAAGGCTCTGGCGTTCGGCGCTTCGGCGTTATCCTAACCGGCTCCGGAGCCTCCGAACCAATGAGGTGAGGGAAATTGAGCTTGGCCTTGGCTCCCCGCATTTCAAAAGCCGCCCGGTCATAGGCCAACGCCGCGTCCTCCGGTGTCTCGTAGGTCCCGAGCCAAACCCTCTTCCCGTTCTTCTTCGGGTCCCGAATCTCAGCCGCGTACTTCCCCCACGGCCTCCGCCTCACCCCTCTAAAACGCGTGTTCATCCCCTGATGCGGCGGCGCGTGAGATTCACGCGCTGTAACTGTTGGCATATCATTTACACGCGCCGGTGTAACAGCCTGAAATTGTTCAGTGAAATCCTCGGTTTTCACTGGCGAGCTGCCTTCTTCGGCAGAGGGGCTCCATCCGGAGTTGGCGGCGTCGCGGAGAGCACCGTAAACGACCATGTCATCGGTGTCGTCCTCCTTGAAGGGCAGATCAGCACTCCAACTCTCCGACAGAAAGATGTTACTGAAGCTCGAACTCCGGGGATACATCCGAGAGTCAAAATGATCAAAATAATTATCAAATTGATCATCACGGAGAAGTTGCTCTCGAATAGCGTCGAGAAGAGCAAAATCGGACTCTGAGCAAGTCATCACTCCAGGCAATATATTTGTGGAAATGCACTCTAAAGGTGATGTGGTTTTTATTTCTTTATTTTTCTCTGAAGATTTTGTTTGTTTAAATGGCTTTGAATGGAGAATGGGATTTGTATATGGTGATCTATATATAGATGGAGTATGGCTTGCCGTTTATTGAATATATAATATATGGATTGGAAGCCATGTTCGATGAAGGTGTTCCATTTTAGTCACGTGTAATAACTGCGGAAAACTGTTAGTTCTAATTCTAAAATTGATAAAATAAATGAAGATTCCCAAAAAAAAAAGAAAAAGAAAAAAAGAAATTGATTGGTTAGAATATTTTGTAACTTGCTGACCTTCGCTTGGAAGTGCGTGATTATTGGAGTTGGGGTGATGTTAATTTATTAAATAATAATTAGTCGGTTAACAGAGAAATATTTAGTACTTGATTAATAAAGTGCTAAGGGACGACAGGGCTAACTAGATCGATGTGGCATAATATTCCTCCTTGGTAGAGACAAAAAATTGTATATATTATTCATTATTCAATTTCAATCGCGATATATACATATATATATATATATAGGATTAATTATAAAAACTCCTTCTGAACTATACTCATGTGACACTTTGTCTTTAGATTTTTAAAATGTAATATTTGTTTCCTTAAATAATAAAATGTTAATAAAAAGGCTCCAGTTAAACTTAACTAAAATTGACATTTAATTTACTATTTTGAGAGTATTTTGATAATCTTATAGCTTAACATTTAATTTCGATCTAAACTAATTTAAATTATAAGAAAAACATCATAAATGTTTTTATTCTACTAAAAAAAATTCATTAAATTTTTAACTTACATTCAATCAATAATGAATGCATAATAATTAAAAGTTAAATTAGTTTTAAATTCAAACTAAAATTTTAAACCATAAAGCTATCAAATACCTTAAAATAACAAACTATATATCAATTTCTCTTAAAAAAAACTTAACGAAAGGGGTTTTTTTTTAACATTTTATTGTTCAGGGAGAATAGATATTGCATTTTACATGATCGAGAGACAAAATGTTAAAAAGAGTATAATTTAAGAGGAATTTTTGTAATTAATCCATATATATGTTCTATAATAATACTGGTTGTTGTTAAATTTGCCAAGTCAGGTCCATTCTAATATTGAGTAGTTTTATATACTCGCTGCCTAGAAAACGATACCCTATAATTACTAGTGGGAAGGGAGATGCGCGAGGAAAAAAAAATTAAACGAAAAAAGAAAAAAATAAGTGATTGAAAAGCGATTTTAGCCACAAAAAAGAAAGTGATAGTACATGTGTAATATACATACACACAAGGATAATGTGGTGTGTAAATTTACACACTAGCTATTTGTTCCTTTTTTATTTTTATTACAGGGATTTTAGATATACCTAATTATTTAAATTTGTATATACCGGCCTCATCCGCTTAACTACCAAAATTAGAAGCGTATATAATTTTCAATGAAAAGCAACAGTTTTTTATTTAAACATTAATGCTCATGAATCACGCTTATAAGCTACTTGGTCTAGTACAAGTGTCCTATTTAACAAGTGGAACCAGTTTGGCTTAATTTTAACTTTGGCCTTCCAACTATACACTTTGTCCCCCTCAACTCTTTTTTCTCAGGATAAAATTATTTTGATACTCAGTGTTATAGCGAAACATACTTTTTGTATTCTATATTTTTTATAATATTGAAATAGTACCTCTTAGTGTTTAAAAGCATATTTTTAAGATTCTAAAACTGATTTTTGAGATGTAAAATAACCTTAATATCCTTCTATTTAATTAACCAAAAAATTAATAAATCTAGAAAAAAAAAATCATGAGCTTTTTTTACTTTGTTGTTTTCTTTTAAATATTTTACAATATTTTTAGATTCTTTTAAATTGATTTCTATTTAATTAATAAGAATTGATTCCGTTCGCGTTCTCCAGCCTGGTTTGACCCACTTCCTTAGCTAGTTTAGAGATTAGATGTCTCAAAAATCAACTTCCAGGTACTAAAAAGATATTTTTAAAAATATCGAGATACCATTTTAATATTATCAAAAACACAATGTTTCATTATAACACATAGTACTGATATAATTGTATCCTTTTTTTCCTCTCTTCTAAACTTCAAAATATAACAAATCTCATATTTGATCTATCAAATAATATCACGTTTGACCCTTCTATCGTAAAAATTGTTGCAATGAATGGATTCATGACACATGGGCATCACATGCCTTTTTAATGAAGCATATATTTTTGGACGACTCCTTCCCCTCTCTTTCCTTCCAATTTACTCATAGCTAGTTTTGACCTAAATCCAAATTTGCATTCTAAATCCAAATTTTAGAATGCCAAATTCAACAGTACTCAAATTATTAGAGCATTGTCCTCTAACGAACGAACTATAAACAACAACAGACGTGAAGGGACGAAATATTATTTCTTAGTCTCTTCGTTTTTTTTTTTTAAACTGCTGCGATGAATGTTTTGTAAGAAGATGAAGATTGAGTTAGAGTTGGGAACTAAACAATCAAACGGAAGAGTACTTTTTTGATAGATTGGATGTGTGTAAGAAAATTAACCAAAACCAATACAGTGCCGAATCTCAGTTTTTATACGGGAGTGGAAAATTACTTACTATTTTTGGTGCTAAATTTGACATATATACTTGGTGTTAAATTTAACACCAATTATAGTACATAAATATCAAAATTTAACATTTGATTGTTATATTGACATTTTCATTCGATCCTTACAAGATTTAATTTTGATCAATAAATTATCTTAAAGATTGAAGTATATTTTTACAAGTTCTCGAGCTTGAAATTTAGTACAAGTTCCCAACTTCATTGCAACTTTGATACAAGTTCATAAGGTTTTCTAGAGAAGAGCTTTATTGAGAGGGTAATATTTTTTTGGTTTAGATGACCAACACAATTTTCTGACTAGTTATTGGCCACCTAAACGCTCTTAGGGTCCGTTTGAAATGTATACTCAAACTAAGATTCTTAATTCTGACGTTTGAAATTCAAATTTTTTGTGTGAGAAAAATACTGTAACAGATTTGAATTTGAGTATATGAAACAAACGGGTCCTTAGAATTTGGAAGTCAAAGGTTGCCTCTCGATTAAGGTCATGCTAAACAGGCCTTAAAAGTAGTTTAGACACTAATTTATATTATTTTTCTTCGGGTATATATAACAGCATCCGGCCTCAAAGAGGAGCAATAAAAGTATACATGGTGATCTCAGCACATATACGTATATATATAGTTTCTTGATTGAATATTCCTTTCAAATTACAGTCATTTTGGTTGCTATCATAGAAAAATGTAAGAGCAAAACGTACTTCACATGTTAGGAAACTAATGTAAAGAACGTGCATTTTGTGCATGAATATCATATTTAATTTATTACATGTATATATATATATCAAATAGTATCTCAATCCTTACCAAGAAATAAAACACAATCACAACCATTTCAACAAAAATTGACATTTTGAGTTTCAAAGCTTTGACGACTTGCATTTTTTTTTTCTACCAACTCTGTTTTGAAGAATAACTTTCGCCTTAAAACTAGATTGCAAGAATTACATTATTGTCTTATTATAAAGTCGCGTTCTCACTACAGCCTTACGCGAAGACAACAATTGGTTAGTTATGCTTTTAAACAGAAAGTTTGACATAGTATAAGTAGATATAAGATAACATGATGCGCAAAGTACTATGATTAACAATATTGATGACTTTGGGTCATTCACTGCTTGGAAACAAAGTCAATTGAGAATATATCGATCAATCCAAGTTTTCTTCATGTTAGCAGAAAAGAAAAATCGAAATTTTCCACACTTTAGTAATAATATTGTACATTTCAGTCTCACACACATGATACTTTCAAGTCTCTCTCTCCCTTAATTTAATTATCCTTTTCAAAATTCAATTTTTTTAACCCAAAACATGCCTCAATCTAACCGAATATATATATATATATGTTGGGATGTGAACTCAAACCACGACGCTGACCCTTCGGGGTTTGATTTCTTTTTTTTTTTGAGGATTAAGATGAAGAGTTTAGTCTTCTAGCTAGCTAGGTATCACTTCTATACGCTAGCTAGCTGGAGTACACAACGTACAAATTAATGGACGTTTATTATTTCTTCTTATTTTTCAGCCATGCTTGCATAGTGATAATTAAAATGATTCCAAAAGGAATCACCATGAAGTAATTATAAGGATTTTCTTAAATTTTATTCAGAACGTGAACAAGTTTCACTTGGACACAAAACGCGGGGAAATATAAGGGTATGTTTCAGTTATGACTTAAGTTGTGTATGTGAAAAAATGTGATTTGAGTTGTGAAATAAATAATGCCTAATTTACTTTCCACGTTGTCCCTTTTTAAGGAGAAGAAATCTTTCTACAATACCGACCTGGATCATGGACTTCTTCTTCCTCTTTATTTCTTTCGTTCTTCTATTTTTTTTTAAGAGATGATGTGAACGTGCATATTGATCTCGCACAAGAATAAATAGGGAGTTTATTATAGTTTTTTCTTTTTTTTTTATTTGTTTCGGAAGCAAAGAAAATAGGTCTAGATTATGTTGAAAAGAGAGAGAAAACCAGGTTAATACTCGAGTATGGAGTAAACATACATACACTAATGAGTAATATTAAGGACATCAACTCAAATATTAACTTTTATGTATTAATTGATGTGGAACATAAGTTGTCATCTTTTTATTAGTAGATACAATGTCTTTCATTAATTGACGTAAAAATGCTTTAAACACCCACTAATAAAAAAATGACAATTCACATACCATATGAGTTAATACATAGAAGTTGAGATTTAACTTAGTATTCTTAATATTATTATAATATACGTGATAAAAATCGTGGTGTCAGTTGTAGACTTTTTTTATTCAATATATTAATATAACCTAAGTAATATATTCCCAAGTGACAAGTTTATAAAGATGTTTTCTGATGTGCATGACCAGCTGGCAAGAGACACCCGAATCCAACAAAATCACATCCCCATTAAAAAAAAAAACGAAAAATATATAAGACATGACCCAATTAAAAGCAAATGGAATAAACAAATGATCTGGAATTTAAATTAAACAATTCAACATGTGAAAGCAGAAACAAATATTAAAGAAGTAGTGCACGCGGCTTGACCAAATAAGAGGATCAATATAGATACAATTACATAATTACTATATAGTTTTTATTAACTTTTTCATTTTTGCTGCTAGTTTTAATTAGCTATAGCCAGTAGTTAATTTGGTTCTCTCTAAATAGTAATTAGAAGTTAAACGATGGATACCAAAGAAATGTACGACGGAGAAAAACTTTGCACCACCCTAGACTTCGACTTTTTCACTTATTAGCTATCCTACAATCTATCTTCCACTACAATATTCTTGATGGGCCTGTTTATTTGCGTTTTCATTTTCATTTTTCACGGTTTTCAAAGCAAAAAAATGAAAACGGGTGTTAAAAACGTGTTTGGTGCAATTTTTTTTAAAAAACAAAACCAAAAACGTTTTTGTCTTTTTGTGGAAATCAGAAAATGAAAAAAATGTGTTTTCATTTTCTCGTTTTCGTTTTCTGTTTTCTGAAAAACGGATTTCACTTTTTTTTTTCTTTTTCATTTTCTTCCCTCTTTTCTGAAACCGTTTTTGTATTATATATGTTTATTTAATATATTTATTTAATA